CTGACCGCCCCTGCGCCTAGGGGCCGGACACGCCGCCCACTTCTGGGAGCAGCACTGAGCCAGGGCAGGCAGGCAGGGAGCCTGCCTTAGCCCCACTGCACCGCCGACTGGACTTTTAACAGTCTGGTCAGCAGTGCTGACTGGAGCCACCAGGGCCTCTTTTCAACTGGGCGTTCTGGTTGGAAATCGGATGCCTGGCAACCCTACGCACTAAACAAGTGACAGGCTCAGCAGGGCAGGGCCCTGTAGAGGTGAGTGAACAACAGCACCAGAGATGGGGAGCTGTAGGGAGTGGGCAGGGAGGTCAGAGACACGTGATAAGGGAACGAGAGAGAGTCACAGAGAGCCAGCAAAGGAGAGTGAGTGGAGCAGACAGGAGGGGACGAGCTATGGGAGCCCAGTAACCCCTCACCACACAGTCCTGAGACCGGCCGCACAGGGAGCCATGAACAGCATTAGCCTGGGGAGTTCTGGCAGCCCCTGAGCCAGGGAGAAGGCAGCAAATACTGTGGGGTACTTGCAGCTGGTTGTACGGAAGATTTTCCGGTTCAGTCCTGGGGCAAAGCCCTGTGTGAGCAATGCACAGCCCAGATGATGGTGGCCCTGCCACGCAGCAGGCAGAGGAGTGCGGCGCTCAGAGGTCGATGGGTTTTCCTTTTCATGCTACCCTTGACTACGGCTTCCCTGGTAAGTACTCAGCTGGTGCATTCACCTGCTTTGGAGGTGGGTCTCTTTCATTCACTCAAGAGCACTGGGGAGCAGCATCTGGTGACCTTTCGAACCAGGGTCTCTGTTGTAGGGGAAGACTTGGGACTTGCACAAAAAGAGGAAAGGGGGGCTCAGGACATTGCTGTGATCATTTGTGTGGGAATCTGAGTGAAGCCATAACCAGGTGGGCAGAGCATTATTCCCATCACATACCCTTCGGGAACCATCAAACCAAAGAGCCAAGTTTCACCACCCCACAACAGAGACTATTACTGTTAAAAGTGTTTTTGTATGTGTGTACTCATCTAGAGTAAATACTTTAGCATGTCTGTTCATCTGAGTGTGGGAAGTAGTGTAAGGATTGCTTCAGTATATTTTACCATCTTTCAACTGCTTAGTATATTCTGAAACCTGCTAAGTTTTCTCCTATTTTTAGGCTGTTCCTGAGAAAGATAAATCTGTTTTCTTTGATTTGATGTTTTGCGTGTGCCCCTTTTTAACAGTTTGATTCAAGATAAAGCTACTACTCCAGTTAGGGATATGTTACTTATTGGGAGTCTGTCTAGTAGCGGGTGGGAGCACTCCACCTCACAGATGGATCTGACACGGGTAAGAGGAGTGACTGGGGAGGAGGTACCGTGAAGAGAGAGCAAAGTGATTTGGAAGCTTCTTCATCATAGTTTCCATTGTTCAGGCTCAGTCTGGGGTCTCACGAGCAGCTGTAAGGTCCCTCAAGAGGGAGGATAATTGGGTTGCAGCCTTAAACCCAACCCCTTAGTATTCTGGAGACCCAGTAGGCAGGGCCCTGCAAGTGTAGTTTCACTAGGTAAATCAGGGAAGAAAGTCCCTTGAAGTTACTACTATCCCAACCATCCTACAGGCAGGGAACTAAATCTAGCCTGTTCCTCTGGGAAATGCAGGGAGCAGGGAGCCACAGGTTGCTTCTCATCCCACCAAGATAAATTAGGGTGGATTAGGGTCCCATTTAAAATACTCCTGCCCCTAACCCCATTACACTTGGAATGCCCCTTTTGAGCTGATCAGTAAGAACTCCATCAAATCCCTCTCCAAGGCCGTCCCTGCTGTGACACCTACATGGAGTCAGCCAATTAACGACTGTTTTGCTTACGCATCAGTAGAACTGGTAGGAAAACGCTGAAGATTTTTCCAGGAAGGATGTCTGACATTTTTCTCCCACCTTCATGCTTCATTTGGGATCAGCTGATTTAATTGACCAATAATTTTACAAGTCTCTTGGGCACTTATATTGCCCCCATCACCATAATAGCAGAGCACATCACAGTCTTTAATGTAGTTCGCCTCACAATGCCTCTGTAAGGTAGGGTGCTGGGCAATGCTGTTATCCCCATTTTAAAGATGGGAAACCGAGGCACAGAAAGGCTAAGCAACTTACCGAAGCACAGGAAGTCTGTGGCAGAGCAGGGACTTGAATCCAAATCTCAAGCTTGTGCCCTAATCACTGGATCATCTTTCCTCACTAAAGAAATATTTGGAGCCATCATGAACTACCAAATTGTTTAACAACTACCCGGCAACCTCATGACCCTATTTTTATTGCCCTCATCCCTGCCGTTGTTTGTCACACTTATTTGTTGCATCTTGCCTCATATTAAATTCCAAGTTCTTTGGAGCAGGGACTGTCTCCTACTATGTGTCTGCCGAGCGCCCAGCACAATGGGGCCCTGTTCACAACTGGGGCATCTAGGTATTCCCACAATATAACTAAGATAATTGTTATAACGGTCCAGATATTCAGCTGGAGTATATCAGCAGACCATGAAGTCAGTGGAGCTACACAGATTTCCAGCAGCTGAGGATCAGCCCCAACCTCTGCAAAGTGATTTGAGATCCTCAATTGAAAGGCGCAATGGAAGTGGAAGGTCTCACTATAAAGAGGCAAAGTCCTGTTACTGCTATGGTATGTTGTGCTGCTTGTTAATAGTGCCATTATCCAAATACACAGGATGCTGTTAATGCATTTTACTGTCTGGTATTGAAGCTGGGGACTATTATTTCCAGTGGAAAGGCAAGGCCAGTTCACATGACATGATTTAAACCTCTATCGTGAAGCATGCATAAGCTGCAGTGGGTCATAAATCTTAACAGGATGCTGTCAACTAGAAAGGAACCAAAATTAAAACCATTTATCTGAACTCCCCCCCCCCCCATCACCCCACCAATTTAGGGGAGATGGATAAAATGAAGCCTACTTCCAAAACACCTCTAGATTCATTAAGCAGACCCCAAATCCAAGCATCCCTGTTTCTGCATCTCTCTCCCCTCGGTTTGTTCAAGCCACCCAGGACTTCATGATTTTCACTATGCTCCACAGCACAGCCACTAGCGGGGACAGAACTTGGATCTTCCTCTTGCTCCCAAAGCGCAGGCCTCAAGCACTCGAGTTAAAGAACAATCTGTTTTCAGTGTTGGGACTACAGAGTCTATCACGCATAGTTGTGTGTGTCATGGAACAGGTCTGATGCCCTCCAGTACCACCCAGTAGTTCATATACACCAGAGCCTGTGCTTTATGATACCATTGGGAATGAGTTCTGCATTTCATTTAGGGGAGGGGGGGAAAAAAAAGAGTAGCCGCCAAAGATTGGTCCGAAGAGGTCACCCTGCTGGCCCCACAGCAGTGCTGACCGGAAACTTTTCCCCTTTGCTGTGCAAACTACTGATATTATGATTAGTCGGGCTGATTAACAGATGAGGAAGTAAACAAAGCAACAAAAAGGGGGAATCATCCTGGCCCCTGCAAAGGGATAGAAGCCCAGGGAAATATGGTTGCCAACATGAAAGTGGACAACATCAACAGGGGGAAAAAATGTCTTATGTAGCCTTCTAGAGGCCAACACTATTGGCCTAGACCGAGTCTTCAAACAATGAGCAATAACAAAATTAAAATGTTTTAAGGGAGTGGAGAGTAACAATATCACTTTAAGAGATTCAGCTGTAGTAATAACCCTAGCACCCTTCATCCAAAAGAGCATTACAAACAACAGGCCAAATTCAGAGAATTTTGACCCAATCAGGACTTCAGAATTTGGTTCTATATACATACAGGAATCACTAGGCCATGGCAGTGCAGCTCCTTCTGGGGTGGAGGGCATCAGCTAGATGGCACAATGCATAATGATAGGGAGGTGGAAATTTCAGCCAAGAACAGCAGGGTTAAAAGTTACCACAAAATCTTTAATATCAGCACAGAGCAAAGAGGACCTCTGTTTTCTAGGTCTCATCCATGCTCAGTAGATTACATGATACTCTGTTTCTCTGAGGATTTATCAAGCATAAAAGGCACAGCTGATGCTGCTGAGTGGATTGAGGGGTCTGCCTCATCTCACTCACACCAGTTTTTACATGGCTATAACTCAACTGACTCCAAAAGAGTTACTCCTGTATCACACCAGCGCAAATGGAAAGCGAATCAGACCAATGTGTTGCAAACATGCTTACACAACTAAGCCATTCCCACCATCATGAGAACAGCAGCTTTGAACACAGCCTGACACGCCCATGCAGTCTGTTTGGGAGATTCTGAGCAAATAACATTTCGGGTGAGGGTAGGGGTGAGGAGACATTTTACGTTTACCAAACTCTCCACACCACCTGCACTTCAGCAGCTATGATGAATTTGTTTCATCTATAGTGTTCTCTGCCACTTCACACCCTTGAGATTTTGAAGGGAGATCAAGAAAGTGGCTCACAGATTTGCAATTAAAATTGAGACCATTTTTAAAAAGGGCGGAAGGGATAAATTTTGTTCCCTGATTATGACACACTCTCTCTCTCATACACACCGACCCATCTTTCAAAGAGCAAACAGGTACAAACAAATGCATCAAAAGAGATTATTTGGGCTGAACCACTGCTTAATGTTCAGGCTCCAAAGGCAACTTAGAACTCCTAATCCCCTGAGCTGGGATCTTTGACAAAGGGATGTAGATAAGGGGGAAACTACATTAGGAACAGAGCTGGCATTTGTACATAGAAAGGAGAGTCTAAAAAGAAAAAAAAGACATAAGCTATAAAGGAAGTTAAAGGAAACAAGGCAGCCCTCATTTATATTTGATCAATATGTGATTAACCATAGTTAACCATTAATTCATCTGCTGTGCATTAGAACTGCTGTTCAAAGTTGGAGAGCATTTAATATTATATATTGCCACTGCTCAGCCTAAATTGTTTTTTTTCCCTTTAAATGTACACAATATTACAGATTTAATTTTAAGCTGTTTGAATCAGTCTGTAAAAAAGATTTGATTATACCTGAGTGTTCTGGCCCCAGTTTTTCCGTATCTCAGTAATCTTGGCGGTAATTGGCTGATTAGCTCCCTCACACTCCATCTCTGCCTCAGTTTCCATGGTAATGTTACAGGAGCTATTATAGATGAGAACTTCATCTCTTTCCACTTTAGGGCTGAAACGAGAAGGGAGGTTAAATGGGGTGTCATCAATCTTAATGAAATGCAATTATTTTTACTCTTATTAATCATTGCAAGCCATTAGCTTGTGGCAACTCCTGCCCACCATTTGTCAAACTTTGCAAATTTCTGTAATTTTGTTTCCATTCTTTTATTGTTTATTTGTTTCCCCCCACCCTGTATCTGCAAACCCTCCCGATGACAACACATGCAGTAAATATCTCTCAGTGATGCCTTTCAGTTTCACAAAACAGTTACAAATGCTAGCAAATGCTCTTCCAGGACCAAGGGAAGGAGGTAAGTGCAGATAAGGACTAAGGAATTGCCACTGTGAGAGTCAAAGATGGAAGCATACACCGAGCAGGGTTTGTTTGGATCCCCCCCACCCCCCTTTCCCTATCTTATTCACACTTAGCAATGGGGAATGAATAACTTGCTACTCCCTTAGGGCAAGCGGAGAAATTGGAAAACCACACAACTGGCTAACTGGTCCCTAATTCCAACTGTGAAAAAATGAGCTCATTTAGGGTTCCAATTCCTGCTCCCCAGCTGATTGCAATGATGCTTTGTTGCTAGCACTGGAACATTAACTTAGTAAATTAATTAAACTTACTTAACAGCCCAGACTAAGCAGATTCGATATATGTGCCAGTTACACGAAGACACTTGCTCCAAAGGCTTCTGTCACGCAGAGAGAAGAAGGAGCAGCAAAGGTAATAGGTAAAGGGTGTTCTTACTGGGTCTTGCTGCTGACAGCTGCTCACTTTGGTAGCATTTTACTATGGGGAGCTGTGAAGGTCTGATCCAAAGTCCCTTGAAAGCAATGGAAAGCCTCCCAGTTCACTTAACTGAGCTTTGGATCAGGCCCAGGAAGTAGACGTCCCATTTTCATGTCTGGCTGCAATTTGCATTCCTTTCCCCAGCTCTCCTCCTTTCCCGCCCCAAAAATTCAGTGAATGTGTTTGTGGATTTGTGTGTGAATTTAGATCTGATTTCAGAAAAATGAAGTTCCCGGTTTATCCACAAACCCATCCCAACACAGTGGGCAGCAGTACTACTCAACCTCAACCCAAAGGCAGTCTCTCTCAGCCACTGTACCTATTACAGAGAAGAGAACTCAGTCTCTGGGCCTGATTCTCCACCGCCTTTCACCTTGTGCAGTCATTTACACCCGCTCAAAAATGCTGACCACTCTGAATTGGTCATATTAATCGCCCATTGTACACAGGTATAAATGGTGACACAAGGTACAAGGCAATGGCGAATCAAGCCTGCTAAGTCAATTCAATCTATTTGGCAGTAGTTTTTGCGATGCGGGTATCTAGTCACTGGGAATTTGGATGGAGACAATCAAACTCTTTTCTCAGAGCAAATTCAGAAATAACAGGTAAGGGTTTAAGCTGATGTAACTTACATGATGGGGGGCTAAAAAGAGATGAGCTACAACATTGTTCTACGATGCACCTCGGGCCAGATTGACAAAAGGGCCAAAGCGGGTTAGTGGCTTACCCTAAGTGAAATCAACCCATCTGAAAATCTGGCCCTTAACTTGCTTGGGAGTACCAGGATCCCAACCAACTGATGAATCTGCAGTTTTCAAACCATGCCATTGTTCAAGGAGACAGCAGCCATGGCAGTGGGTTTGGGGGATGTTTGTTTCATTGCCATTTTTTAGCACAATCGGTGGTGTATTAAAGACAGAGTTGCGTTAACAAAAACCGTTGCAGGTATCGGAGCCATTTTAACAATGATTTTGTATTTATTTATTTATTTAAATAAATCGCTCCCTCCACCACATCAATAACAGAAAGTCAGCCTTAAGGAACAGCATTAGCTTCCTGATAGCAACACTTTGAGAACTATTCTTGTCCTGTACAGTAATTTAGTGAGATGAGGGTATCTTTCAAGGCTGCATCATATTTTCTGCTGCAAGAAAAAAATTTATCCTTTAAATAGCCAACATTTTTATGAGGAGATGGCTATATCCAATGCGATAAACAAACTAAGGGCTGCATCCAGCTTGCATGGAAGTCAATGGGGCTCTCGCAAGAGACAGGAATGGGAGTTTAATCTGATCTTACATTGGGAATTAATGTATAGGTAATGGACACACTCTGTATGATCCTGGGTTAACCACAACAGTAACAGTTACTTCATTTCTGGGCACCTCACTGCTGGACAATGATTAACGAAGTGGTGAGCTTAAAGAAGTGCAACAAAAATAATCAGAGCTGGAGGGACAAACTGAAGGTTAAGGGTCACATCCTGATCCCACTGACATCAATTGCAAAACTTGCATTCTGTTCAATGAAAGCTGGATTTGGCACTAAGAATTAAACACATATGGGTCTGACAGTCCTCATGGTTACACTAGTGGAAATCAGGAGTAGGTTCATTGAAGCCAGTGTGAAACTGGGGTGTGAAAAGACGCGATCACTAGAGGAAGACAACAGTTAGAGCTGAATAGGAAATGGCTGTCAAGTCCCACAAAATTTTTCACAATTTTGAATATTTTTCTCATCCTGAGTCTGGATAAGAAGCTAAAATATCGAACACTTCCACAAACAGATAATCAGGAGGAAAAAAAAAAGATCAGGTCAATCAAAATGTTTTGGTTCATTAATTTCAGAAGCTTTTGTTTCAAATTGTGACCTTTTTATGTATTACCTTTTTTTAAAAGCATAATTTAACTAAAGTTTAGACACAAAGTCATTTTGAACAGGAAAATGAAACTTTTTTGTTTTGAAAATGTTGAAAAGGGTCATTTCAACAAATTGCAATTTTGGAATTGGGAGATTCTTCAGAACTGACCCTTTCCCACACATTATTTCGGGTTCCACAAATTAGCATTTTCCAACAAGCCAAGTTTTGTCAGGAAATATTTGACCAGCTCTAATAACAAATCTATAATACTGGAAGAGTGTAAGTGTAACCCACACATCTCCTGGGTGTGGTTTTCTGTCCCATCTAAAAAAGTGGCACTCAGACCACTCAGCCCTGGTCTACACTGGGGAGAGGGGAAGGGGAAGGATCGACCTAAGATATGCAACTTCAGCTACGAGAATAGTGTAGCTGAAGTCGACGTACCTTAGGTCGACTTACCTCGCATCCTTACGGCGCTGGGTCGACTGCCGCCGCTCCCCCGTCGACTCTGCTTCTGCCTCTCACCACGGTGGAGTACAGGAGTCGACGGCAGAGCGATCGGGGATCGATTTATCACATCTACACTAGATGTGATAAATCGTTCCCCGATAGATCGATCACTACCCACTGATCTGATCTGGCAGGTAGTGTAGACGTACCCTCAGAGAGAGAGATTGTGTCTGTTCTGCAGTCTTAACTAACAGCCAGCTGGCTATTAGCTCATGCAGTAGAGGCTCATGCATTTAGCTCCAGAGGCCCCAAGTTTGATCCCGCCCACTGACAACTGGGGTCTGTTGATGTTACATAAGCACCAAATGGAGAGAGGAATTATTTAGCATAGTAAACGGGGATGTGAACTTGCAGCATTCCTACTGTATTTTCCACTGCATGCATCTGATGGAATGGGCTTTAGCCCATGAAAGCTTATGCTCAAATAAATTTGTTGGTCTCTAAGGGGCCACAAGTACTCCTTGTTCTTTTTACTACAAAGTTAGGTTGGCTTAACTAAATTACTCCAGGCTGTGAGAAAATTCACACCCTGTGCGATGCAGTTAAGCTGACCTAAGTGGTGACATAGACACTGCTGGGTCGATGGAGATGGAAATGATGGTAGCACCACCTTTTGGGACATTTATAACTAGACTAGACAAAGCATGGCATAAAAGAACTATATGAGTTGGCAGGGAGAGAGAGACTGGATGACCTCAAAGGTCTTTTCTACCTTTCTGGATTCTATGAGCCAAACACTGAAGCCCTGACTATAGACCTGATTCTCCAGTGCCTTGTGTGGGCAAACCCACTAAAGTAGGGATGGTAGGCTTGATCTTCTCTGACACCACTGCAAACCAGGCATAGAGCCATTGGAGCATCCACGTCGATGGAATTACCCAGGTGTAAACCAGGTATAAGGGAGAGAAGAATCAGGACCCTATGTATTTATTTGTGTCTGTTAAGTGTCTAGAATAATCTGGTGCTATGTAAATCAGAAATAATAAAAAGCAATGGCACAGCTCCTTAGCTGGTGTCAATGAGTAACAGCTCCAGGATCTGCCCCAAGGAATCTGATTCTCTTCTGACCGCACTGACTTTATACAAATGTAAATCAGTTGACTCCAGGGAAGTTACTCTGCTTTATACTGATGTGAGCAAGAGGAGACTCAAAGCCCAGAAACCTCAAACCAGGCTAGTTTCATGTGGTTTTCGGGTTTTGGAAAAACATTTGCACAATGGTAGTCTTGTCCTCCTTGTTAAATGCATACTGTAATGCCTGCTGCTCTCATCTCGGGGTTTAAGTAACTCCCATTGATTAACTTGTATCTTGCAACAGGAGAAGATGGGGCCAGATTTTCAGCTGATGTAAATCAGAATAGTGCCACTGAAATCAATGGCATGATGCCAATTTATATCAGCTGAGAGTTTGGCTTAATTTACAGAAAATCTTGGGCCAATAACCTGGTTATGGTCTGTTTATCTATTTGGTTAGGAAGAAGGACTTAAAAAAAAAACAAATGGGAAAGTTTCATTCTCTTATTCTTTTCTCTCCACCCCTCCCCACCCCCACCACAAACTTATAGGACTAAATTCTTTGCCGGTGTAAACTGGCGTAGTTCCATTAACTTCAATGGAGTAGTTCCAATTTACACCAGCAAATTTGGCCCATGGTTTCCAAAGCCTAAAGCTACAGTAACTGTCTGTGCACCCTTGTTGAGTAAACAACATACAGCCTGCCAGATCCTCTGCGACTTTTTACCCATGAATCTCTTTGGAGAGGTGAAGGGGGAGGGGGAATCCCTTCTGGTTTTCATAATGACTAATCCTTTCCCCCCTTGGCATTCACCAGATGTTGCTTTGGATCAGAAGATAAATATTAAAATCTAAAGAGGAACAAAGCGGGCTGTTTACTAGATGGATTTTCTGAGGTCTCTTGAATGCTTTAAAAGATGTGGGGGGCAGATGCTTTGATATGCACACTGAATGGATTTCACAACCCAGTGGAGCACACCAACCTAGGAAATAGAAATCCACCTTCTCCATCGCCCAAGTCTGCAAACACTAAGTGTCTTCTGGGAGATGCTGAGCAGCACCAGGCCCACACTGCTGTGGGATAGAGCCAGGGCTAACCTGAAAAAGAGGCCAGCAAAAAGCGCCTGGGGTGAGTTGACTTTTGTCCTGTTATCCAGCAGAGAGTTGTCGTCACACAGGTATATGTAAGGCCTGGCTCCTGCTAGGCTGTATGCTCCTGCTGTGATATGGACGTCACACTGGATGTATGTGGTCCCAGCTCCTTTGCAGTCTTCTGAAGGATGGGTCAGGCCACAGAGAACGGCCAAGGACGCTGCAAAGACAGAAAGGAAAAAAAAACACTCACCCACATAAGCATCGGCACTGATGCAAGTTAGAACCATATGCTGTGCCACTGAAATCAATGGGAGTTTTGCTATTGCCTTCCATGGCAGAAGGGTCATGATTATTTTCCCAGCCTAACCCTTTGGGAACCACAACCCTCCATTCTCACGATCCATATGATCTATTTATGACTCTGCCCGTTGGGTTTGATCTCTTTTATCTGTGTGGATAATTATGATCCTTTGGCAGTATCTATCCAGATGCTCTTTAGAATAAAGTGACCCCTTGTGGGGGACAAAAGCAAGCCAGTGATTAGCTAAGGGGACGGGCATAACTGCTGCCTGGAGGAGATGGGCCATTGTTTGTTTACTTCAACCCAGCAGTACAGTATGTGCTCAGATCCTCGATTGTTCAGCGGAAAGGAAACATTCTCTACACTATTGTTCCTGTGGCTGGATCTGCACTTCATGAAGAGAGTGTTGTGCTCAACACGCTGGGGGTCTGAGTGGGCTAATGCAATTAGCCATTCACCGTTTGGAGACCGAGGTTCACATTGGGGAAAGCTGTTGGGATGGAAAGCACAAACCGACTGTGAACCTTTCACCAGGAAACGTTGTCTGGTGATAAAGTTCATTGCAGATTTGAAGCTCAGCCCTGGTTCAGTGAAAGCATCAACAGAGCTTTGCAGGCTTTTCAAAGGAATGGATTTGCAGTGGATTTGGAGCTTTTGCTTGGAATCTGTGTGAAACTTGAGGCTTTGCATGATTTTAACTCAATGGGTTTGGGGGTTTTATTAATTTGCTTTAAGAGGTTTGTTTGTTTGTTTTTTAAAGGATGGGTTTTGTGAACTGAAAGTCAGGTGGGAAGAGGTTTATGGGCCTACAGGAATATAAACCAGAGAACAAAATTCATTCAAAACCCTGAGGGTTTCATATAGCTCTGGGAGGATCTCCACCGAGCTAGCACTCAAACAATGAATAGCTGAAAGGAAGGATGGTCTTGTGCCAGTGATTGTTGTTTGCATTTCTATGGCTCATCAGAGATCAGGACCGGAGCTGGTTGGGAATTTTTCAGTAAAACTTTTTTGTTGTTAAAAATGCCGATTTGTTGAAACTGAAACTTTCACGTGAAAGGGCCAGCTTTGACAAATTTCTTGACTTGAAAAACATGTTGAAAAAAGGTTTTCAAGATGTCCCCTTCTGATGTTTTCAAAACAAAAAATTGTTCAAAAGGACTTTTCAGTTCAAAATTTAAGCTAATTGTACTACAAATAATTATTTTAATTAAAAATGGTTGAAAGTGGACTATTTTGAAATGATCCAAAAACAACACTTGATTGATCCCAAAAAATTCAGATTGTCAGTTCGCAAATGTTTTTTGAAATTTTGACTTTTTAATCCAGAGTTGGGATGAGAAAAATGTCTAAAATCAGGAAAAAGTTAATAGGACAGGAAAAGCATTTCCTGCCAAGCTCTAAGCAGGATACCATTGTTCTAGGACCAGTTCAAACACATATAAACTAAGCAATCCCTGCCTCAGAGTTTATCACAATCCAGGCATAAAACAAGAGACAACAGGTAGATAAGAGCATTGCCGGCAAATCGAGGGAAGTGATTATTCAGCACTGGTGAGGTCACATCTGGAGTATTGTGTCCAGTTTTGGGTCCCCCACTACAGCAAAGATGTGGACAAATTGGAGTGTCCAGCAGAGGGCAATGAAACTGATTAGGGGGCTGGGGCACATGACTTATGAGGAGAGGCTGAGGGAACCGGGCTTATTTAGTCTGCAGAAGAGAAGAGTGAGGGGGGATTTGATAGCAGCCTTCAACTGCCTGAAGCAGGGTTCCAAAGAGGATGGAGCTCGGCTGTTCTCAGTGGTGGCAGATGACAGAACAAGAAACAACGGTCTCAAGTTGCAGTGCAGGAGGTCTAGGTTGGATATTAGGAAACACTATTTCACTAGGAGGGTGGTGAAGCACTGGAACGGGTTACCTAGGGAGGTGGTGGAATCTTCATCCTTAGAGGTTTTTAAGGCCTGGCTTGACAAAGCCCTGGCTGGGATGATTTAGTTGGTGTTGGTCACCAGTTCAGCAGGAGGTTGGACTATATGACCTCCTGAGGTCTCTTCCAACCCTCATCTTCTATGATTCTATGAAGACAGAGCATAAGGTAGCAATGAGAAAATACTGATCAGCATAAGGAACAGTGGTCAAAGCACACCAGCTGTATAACCATTGTTGAATTTTTTTTAGACATCATGGCAGAGGAGAGTTTTCAGGAAGGATTTTAGGAAGAACAATGAGGTGGCTTTGCAGATGTTTACATGGAGTTCTTTCCAAACGTGAAAGGCGGCATGGTAGAAAGCACAAAGATGCTTGTTTAAAAATGTACTAATGGGTGATGGTAGCTGGGGTCATTGACGAGTAATGGAGTGGAGATGAGAGTAATCAATGTCTTGATATTGTTATGAGAGATGATGGGTATGGTGCCAGAGTCAGGCCAAGATTCAGAGCCAGAGTTGGGTGGGGCACAGAAGCAGGGACCTGGAACAAAGCAGGGATCAAGAGTCAGGTGAGAGGTCATGGTCTGATGTAGCACTCAGCCAAGGATTCAGGGGCATTGGTCAAAACGACAGGCATCTTGAGATAGTGTCCACAGTGGGTTTGAAAGGTGGTCTTCCACTTGTCCTCAGCTCTCATAGAATTCTGGAGAGAAAATGACCTTTAGTTTGTGCCAGTGGATGAGTGTGTTATGGAGGGTCAGCCAAGAAATACCCAAGATCGGGGAAAATGCCAGGAGTGAATAGCACTGAACTGAAGTGTCTTTCTGTGCTCTTCGCAGGGCTGGCTCCAGGCACCAGCGAAGGAAGCAGGTGCTTGGGGCAGCCAATGGAAAGGGGCGGCATGTCCGGGTCTTCGGTGGCAATTCGGCGGTGGGTCCCAGTCCCTCTTGGCAAAAAAGCTGGAGACAGCCCTGGCTCTTCGATGGTGACCAGAGGTACAGTCTCTCTGTCCACCAGACAGGAGAATGGGGGAACCTATCAACTGTCTCTGCTAGGTCCAGAAGGGGCCTGGGCCTTAGGGGGATCTGACCTGAGTCTATGAGGGGCTGCTGTGGAGAGATTGGAAGGGAGCACGCTGGGACACGTACTCATCCGGTAGTTGTAAATGCGGTGTTCGCTGGCAGAGTTCAGCACGTGTTCTGGATAGGTCCATGGCTCAAAACTCAGGGAAACATTTTGTCAAGGTTCCCAGGCCAGCCTCGTTCTTGGGGACTGGACTGACTTGTTTTCCTGGGTCTCTTAGGTTTGGATTCCTCATACAACAACCAGAAATATAATAAACCAGTTTGCCACAACAGAAACACAAGTTAAGATTGGCAGGCCAGAATAACCTGCAACTGCTTGACTTGAGAAGCAGGACTCAATAGCGGGAGGCACGACTGTGACAATGCCTCTCGTCTTTCTTCTCACTGCCCCCACAATCAATTATCAATCCAGGCCTCTGTTGCTCTGGACCAGGGGTCGGCAACCTTCGGCACGCGGCCCATCAGGGTAATCCGCTGGCAGGGCGCGAGACATTTGGTTTACATTGACCATCCGCAGGCACGGCCCTCCCGCAGCTCCCAGTGGCCACGGTTCACCATTCCCGGCCAATGGGAGCTGCGGGAAGTGTGATCATAAATGTATTGGTGAAATTTTTTCCATTCCAAAGAGTATTGCTAACAACTTTTTCAATATGAGCAGAGCCCTTCTCTGTCACGGGCAATGCACTGCTGCAAATAGAACAGATTGTCCCCCTTGCAGCATGGTATCTCCTAGGCCCAACTTGGATGTGTCATACTGCAGCATCAGGGGTTCATCTGCATTGTAGTATTTCAGAATGGGAGCCTTCCCAATAATCTTTTACTTTCCAGAATGCTTGCTCATTTTGATCCGTCCGCTCCTATGAGGTGTCTCAATGTGTCAGCTGTCTCAGGATCTCACAGATCTCAGACAGACAGCTGAAAAACTTTCCCAAATAACTGATCATTCCCAGGAGTTTTTGGACTCATTTAACATCACTGGGTCTTGGCATTTCTCTAATTGCCCTTATTTTCTCTGCGTCTACTTTCAGGCCTTTGGAGGTCAACAAATGTTCAATGTATGGCACCTTAGTTACTCTCAACTTGAGATTGTCCAAGTTCAATTTATTATTTTTTTCCCTGCATCTCTGTAAAAGAAGTGTAGTCATGATCTCATTGAGCTTGTTCTGGATCATCATCCTCTCCCACTATCAACACAACTGCTATTATCCAGATTCCCATCAAGCCCTCCAATATTTGGGTCAGACTGCTCTGGAATACCTCTGGTGCTGAACTGATTCCCATTGGCATCCTTAACCATCACTGTCTCCCAAGTGGAGTTGCACAAGTTGTCAAGTAACTGGATTTTTCATCCAATTCAATGTGCCAGAATCCATTTTTCATATCGCATTCTGTAAAAAGTCTCTCTTTAGACAGATCTGTTAATATGTCCTCAATTGTAGGCAGAGGGGAATGGCTCCATTTCAAATCTTTGGTTAAAGTCTTTGGGTCTATGCATATTCTCAGCTTTTCAGATGGCTTTCTTACGACAACAAGATTGCTTTTCTAGTTTGTGTTCTTCTCTACAGGATGAATAATTCCACAGTTCTGTAAGCTCTGTAGTTCGTCTTTCAATGGCTGTCATAATGCAATAGGTACTTTCCTTTTTTGGCAATTTAACTGGCTTCACACTGGTGTCAATCTATGTTTTATAAACACCATCTAACTGTCCATCTCCCTGAAACATATCTTGATACTCCCTCTGTATCATCTCCTAGTCCAAGGTAATATCATCCAATGTATCTTAGTCATCTTGCTATCCACTTTCATTATGTTATGGAACTGTACTTTTATCCGATTCACGGCTTAGACAGTCTTGCTGCCCAGAAGCAAAAGTGCTGTCTCATCGCCTATGACTACAAAGTCCAGTCTGTATTTTTTTCCTTGGATTTCCTAATTTAATTTTACATTTCCCCAATGGGTTTTAATGTGATCTGGTTGTACATTGTTAACAACTTGTTGGTCTCTTCCAACCATATGTCTGGGTTCACCAGACTGTGGCACAAGTTGTAACATTATCCCAATCAATCTAATTGAAATTGTATCACTTTCTTCCCAAATAACCTGGCTGCATACAACTGTTTCTGGTGCTTACGAGGGTCTTCTTGCACTATGTTTATCATCTGTTCGGTCACTCATACAATGTCCTCATACTCATTGTTGCTCTCTTTAGTTACTGTGTGTACCTTGGATTTGTTTTTCTTCTCTCTGGGGGAAAAAACAAACCCTTGGCTGCAAAATGATTACATTTTGTCAGAGATATGTCATTTTTTCCTCACAAGCTAGACACTTTTCTTTCTGTCTTTCATGGTTTCTCCCACAGTATTGACATGTGTCTGTAGCATTGTCATCTACTGATGTTGGATCTGGTTTTGATTTCTCTTTCTTATGTATGGCATGGACAAAGCTTTTCCCCAAAGTCAAGTCAGCTTCCCTCAGCAACCACTTTCATACTTGTAAGTCTCATATTTGGTCACACTATCCGGTCTCTTATCAATGAATCTTTAATATTTCCAAAACTGCATCTGGCTGCTAACATTTTTAAATCAGTGCTTTATTCATCTATATCCTCTCCAGCTGCTTGAGCCCAAGTCAAGAAATGATATCTTTCCACCATTTCATTCTTCCTGGGGTTAGAGAGAGTACCAAAACAGCCCATTATTGCTTTTAAGGTGTGCTGAGCCTGGGAAATTTCCACACAGAGTCTCACTTACCTCTCTCCTTTTTTCTCCAATCAGGTAATGAAACAGTTTTATTTTCACATCTTCTTTATCTTCCAGCGGGGTTAATTTCCTCTTTCCAGCTCTTCCACGCCTGAACTAAATTCTTCGCTTGCAGGTTCAATGCCCCCAGAGGCTTCAGACCCTCCATTTTTCTGTTATCCGCCTTGTCTTATAAAGCAAACTGTATACTCACAGAAGTATTCTGCTCTCTGCAGTGCAGCTCTGAATGGTCTCCCCACTGTCTAGGACTTGATTACCACTGCCACCATGTTTTAGGCTTTGTTGTATCTGGATCATCTGCTATATAAGATCTCACTCTGACATGGGATTAATTAAACTTCAGCTTCTCCAGCCTACTGGCTTCTCAGACAGTTCCCAAGGAGGTGTTGTTTTCAACGGTAGGCTGCGCAAAAGTGTCTGCTAGCACGATGAACTTACTCTTGCAGTGCCCGATTCTTGACAATCAGCTGTGAAAACCATGCTGCACAGCTTGGTTATCCATCTGGAGGGGCTTAATGGCTCATGCGGAGCCAGTACTCCCTGGGATAAGGAGCCGGACCTGCTCAGAGAGGTTGGTTTTCCAAGCAAACTGCCGTGGACCGGGAAGTCAGTCCTAGTGGTCAGAGCAGTGGTGGTCAGATGTAGTCACCAGAGCAGGAGTCAGGAGTCAGAGCCAGGGGTCAGAGCCGGAGATGGAGCCAGGGGTCAGACCATGGGTTGGAACTGGAGACAGTAGCCAGGGAAAGGGGGGGGGGCACAGAAGCAGGGATCTGGAACAAGGCAGGAAGGCAGGAGCCAGGCAAAGATCAGGAATCAGGTGAGAGGGCAAGGTCTCATGTAGCACTCAGCTAGGGATTCACCTAGTTGCTCCAAGAACTTCCTGTGTCTCCTTCTGGCTTAAAGAGCGAGACCGAGCCAATCAGAGAGGCCGGGCATCTCCTCCAATTAGGAGCTTTGGGGTCCGTGCTTCGGGTGAACTGGGGTCCACCAGCCCACATTCCCTGCTGGTACTGGCAGTCCGAGGACTGCCTGGGGACCCATCAACTCGCATTCAACACCCGGGATCTCTCACAAATAAGTACCTTAGATAGATAAGCAGCAAGAACAATATTAAAAATAAAAGGAAACTCACATGCCATGACTTAAAAAAAATATTCGCAGTCGGTGGAATCATCCAAAGGGTGTGTGTGTGTGTGTGTGTGTGTGGTCTACATAAAAATACATGAAGGGGAGGTATTTCTGCAGCAGGATGTGATGTAACAGAGGAATGCATCCACTTCACCAGTCCCAGGCACTGGGCACAGCCAGGAAATATCAAACGTGCTTCTAATCTGCATGCATGTGCCTCTGTACTGAAGTGTAGCAAAGGCCCCAAAATCATGTCCCCTAGGCCTCTGTAAACAGCTTGTCTCCCTGTACCACTGCAGTGGTTCGTAACCTCTCTGCTGAGTGAATGAGGCTAGCAAAAGGGAGCTCTGCATGTCAACAGCTCACTAGTCTAGCTGGTAGGGGCCAGCCAGCACATCACAAATGTCAAACTCCCAGAGAATAGTACCAAGTAAACAGCAGATGTGAGGCTAGATTAAAAAGATCTTTGGCAGGCCAATTATCATCTAAAAATATCACCTGAAAATATAATTATAATCAAAATATGAATATCAGGCTATTTTACCATTTGTGGTGTGTTTCCAAGATATAAACACATTTGAGTTTGTGTACACAAACATTTTATATGTTTATGTGCCTATACCAGCATTGCAAATATCTACTTGGCTCTAAACTAGTGTGAGTTTGTTTTTTAGTTTGTTTTGCTTGACCAGAAAAAAACAAATATTTTTCTAAGTGTAACAGATCATCACTGGTAGAGGGTAGGTGAGAGAGAGAGAGAAGTTAGCCTTCTCAATGGCATATTTGGTAGGATATGAGATAAATATCTTAATTCAGCAAGAGCTGAGCAATAAACAAGGGAAAGTCTTATGTGTCTGTTTAGTGGGAAGTGCAACCTACCCAACTCAATTCCCCAAACTAAATAACCAAGAAACTCTTTGATACAATCAATCAGCATTCGCTTGCTGACATCTAGTGCCCATTTGAAGTATTGTCTGGACAAGCATATTCTCTCCACCTCAGCAATGGTCCAAAGCACAATAAATTTAGAAACACTGTTCTTCATGTTTTCATACTCTCAATCATTTTCTTGTATTTTATTCTATTTCTTTTTCTTGAATAACCAGTCTCCCCCACCCCTCATCCCGGTATTCAAGCACTGAGTCTTTTAACATGAGATATCCCAGTTCCCAGGACAGAGCTTAAAGGAAAGTTCCTAGGATTGTTCCCAAATCCTGTTTAAATAAGTGATTATTTACAGTATCTCAGGTTCATTCCGCCCACATCCAAACACACACAGTTTTGGTTTGTATTTTGAGATTGCTTATCGAGAAACCCAGAGGATGAGGCAAAATGACAAGTGGGAATTCCACAAGTTGGCAGTCACAGATACTCTCATAGCATCACCCCATAGGGTGGGAGGGATTTATAGATCCATGGAGGAGCAGAGGCCAGGGACTTTTGACCTCAGGGAGGTCTCTAGAATTTGAAGAAATATTACATGTAACCCACACATCTCCTGGGTGTGGTGTTCTATCCCCTCTAGTGGCACTGAGACCACTTAGAGATTCATGAGTCTGCTACAGCCTTAGCTAAAGGCCATGTGCCTTTTGGCTCATGCATTTAGCTCCAGAGGTCCCAGGTTCGATCCCACTCTCCGATGACCGGGGTCTGTCGGTGTTTCAAGTCGGGGCTCACCCGGGATATCAACTAGAGAGTCGCTGAAGCTTCAGACACCCTTCCTCAGCTAGGAAACGTATGTAACCTACACACGTCCTGGATGTGGTGCTCTGTCTCCTCTAGTAGCACTGAGAACACTTAGAGATTAATGAGGCTGCTACAGCCTTAGTTAAGAGGCATGTAGCTCCAGAGATGCCAGGTTTGATCCCGTCCACCAACAACCAGGGTCTGTCCATGTTACATACAGATCTCAGGGTATTCACTTAGCCCCTCCAACCTACTCTTTGAACTACCCTTAGAGTAGCTTGCACTGTAAGCCCCTCGGGGCAGGACCATCTCTTTGCCATATGTTTGTAGACTGCCTAGCACATCGGGCCCTGGCCTGCAGAAGCTACTGCTATGCCAATAACAATACCCTGCATGCATGCATGCATGCCGTAGTCACCTCCTGCCATCGAGAGAAGAAAGGTGCGAGCGCTTCTGCTGGGTTGTTCCCATGGGAATGATGCTGCAGAGACAGGCTGTCATCCAGCCATGTACCATCTCTTATCACATCTCCCACACACTCACAAAGCAGTGACCAGGTGGTGTTTCCAGAGAGGGCCTGATCCATGCCCACTGACATCAATGGAAAGACTCCCATTGACATCAGTGGGATTTTGGATGAGGGTCAGGATGCGGTGGCTGCTGCCACGTTGGCTCCTCTCCCTTCCCCATAGCAGTTTTTGGGCCATCAGAGGTGCCCCTCTCCTCATCTGCGCTAGGATTTTTTGCAATGGGAATTCAGGACATGTGGTTTGAGGTCGGGGATAGATTTTAGGAGGGTTCATTATCCATCCCAACATGTTAACTGACCGTCCAAGCGCGGGGCAAGGCAGCTCACATCGGTCGTCGTGGTGTCACCTAGCGTTTCACAGGGAGCGCCACAGATGGTTACGGAGGTGTTTCCTGGAGCAAACCCAGTGCCGTGCACGTGCACTGCCCCTCCACCCAGGCCACCTAGGAAGAGAACAGAGAAAGGGATTTAAAACAGAGCTTCATGACTGGCCGTTAATGAGACCAGCCTGGAACTGCAGCCTCAATTTACAAGGGCCTCAAAATCTGCCTTTACACTCTGCATTATGGGTAAGGGAAAGGCCATCACAGATGTGCCTCAGTTATCCACAACTAATACTTGGAGCCAGATCATCTCTGGCCACTGCATCTTGCATGGCTCTACAGAGGATGAGGGGTGGTTGCGATGCTGCACTACCCTTAATGCCCCATCCCAAGACAAAATTTAAGGACTGTCGGTTCCTCCATGTACCCATTTAAGGTTAAGTAGACGCATTCCGTGAACTCAAGAGAGTCATGCCAATCTAAAATTGGTGGAAGTGAGATGAGAATCAGGCCTCCAGTTTCCGTTTCTATGGAGGCAGTGTGGGGCTCTAATAATTACCTGCTGTATGATGTTGGGCAAGTCACTTAGCCCCTCTCTGTTTCCCCTGCCAATATTTGTCTATCTTGTCTATTTAAATTGTAATTTTTTCAGGGCTGGACTGTCTCTTTCTAGGTGTCTGTACAGCACCTAGCACAATGATCTTGGCTGGGGCCCCTAGGTACTATAATAAAGACATAAATAAATAGTGATTTCTGTCATTTTGACTTGCTGCGTTACTGAGTTTTAAAAGTATCCACTGACTTCAGGTGCCTGCATTTTTGTGTGTCCATCTTAAGAGAGTTAAGGTCAGATATTTTCAGAAGTCAGTGGAAGCTGGAGGCACTCAGACCTTCTGAAAATAAGGTGTTAGGTGTCTCGAGTTCTGCACCCAAATACCAAGGGAACAAATGAGTGAACACTTTGGAAAACACGAGTGTGCATCCCTCTGTGCCTTCCTTTGCCCCAGTCTGGAATGAGTACTGTGGTGTATGCAGCCATGCAGCCAGAAGGGGAGGTCATCCTGCTTTTGTGTGAGTACACCATTCCCTGTGTAGAGCTGGTGGGAAACTGTTTTCCCAGCCTGTGAGAATTTCTGAAGTTTCAAAAAAAAATCCTCTCTCAAATCAGGACAATGCATCTAAATCTCAAAATGTTTTTTTGCAAATCTATAATCCTAAAAAGTTTTTGGATTGGGTCAATCAAAATGTTTCATATAAAAAATAATTACCCTTTTTGGTATAATTTCACTAAAATTTCAAAACAAGACGGTGATTCAGACCGAAAAAACTAATTGTTTCAAATAGATGTCAAAATAGGATATTTTGACAATTTACCAACTTTTTTTCAAATTGGGAGAGTTGTCAAAAACAACTCTTTCTCATAAATAGTTTTGTTTTTGATGAACTGGCATTTTCCAACAAACAATATGTTTCAACAGAAGATTTCTGACCAGCCATATCCCTGTCTGCTAGAACTAGCCTTGCACAGTTGGAATCACCTTTTCCATCCCACAACATCTTTTTTTTTTAAACTCCCCAAGATCTTAAAATTCTTTTTTTCTGTAACACACGTTGCCTGTGCAGAATTTATGGAGGCGAGATGTGGTATAACAGTTTAATCAGCACTCCGCTGTGATGCGTAAACAAGTGGCATCGTCGTGTGTGAGTAACATGGGGATCTAACTGCTTGCCAATATAAGGTTTTTACAAGACTCTGCAGGTTCGGTCCTGGGATTGGTCCTGCTTTGAGCAGGGGGTTGGACTAGATGACCTCCTGAGGTCCCTTCCAACCCTGATATTCTATGAGTCTATGATCAAATCCTTGCAGAGATACCTAGATAGATAGATCGGTCGGTGTTCTAATTTTGTGCTTGTGCCCATCAACACAGTCTCTGATTGCTTACCATTGTTCTTCCATTGAATCTTGGATACTATGTTTCACACCCAAATAAGGATTTTATTTTATGGGGGATGGGTAGGGGTATTTAAGAGATCACATTATGAATTCCTGAAAACAGAATTTAGCATGTAAGCAGCTGACAGACCCTCAGCCAGGACACTCGCTCACAGTCTGTGAAAGAAACAAATCAGGCCACATTCACTCTCCCCTGATACTCTAGATTCTAGTGTGTTTGTTGGGGGCAGGTGGGGGTCACTAGTGATTTCCTCTCTTACAAACTCCAAATACAAATTGTGACATCTCTGTCACTGCTGTTACCCGGGAGACAGTCATCCCCAGCCACTCATGCACTTACCCCAGTTGTTGCGTGTCGATGTGACAGTAAACTGAGAGGTGAATGTCAAGTTTGATGAAGCCCAGCCTCGGAGGAAGTCGCCGCCGAGGACTCGGTATTCTCCAGCAGGAAGCCGGGGAGCCGAGCATTGCAAAGTGGTGTGATTGCCAGTGATGTTGGTGCAGGGGGAGACCCCAATGGAAATGTGCATGCTTTCCACCCCTGTGATCCGTGACACGGTCATTGTTAAAAGGAGACCCACCGGAGGCAGAAGGAAAAGGAAAATAGGGGTGAACTCTTCACTGTAACTTATTTCACCAAGGTGGTACAAGATGCCATCTATTTCTAGAGCTAAAGCATGGATCCCATTGCCCAGAGGAACAGAGCACCGGAGAACCACATAGCTGACATCTGTAATGAGGCAGGGTCGGTTCCCAACAAGAACGGAAGTGCTGTTCCTTCCTTTCAGTGCTGCCCCTTGTATGGCAAGAAGGCCCCCGCCATTGGTACTGAAATTTTGGGGGTAAAATTTGAGCACCCAAGGAATGACGGTGAAGATACGGGAGTCCCTGCTGAAGCAAGCATGCCCGCTTCTTCTGTTGGACACAGAAAGGCTGTGCTGCCCTGGGGAAAGGCTGCCTGTCTGGCATTGTATGCTGGTCTCATTCCAGAAAGTTACGTTACAAGGGTCACGGTTGTCCACTTGTATCACAAGTTCATCAGTTGCCAAAGCTAATCTCTGGCCTCTGATCAGCAGAGATGACAATGTCCCATTGATCTCCCAGACCACAGCATCTACCTTAGGGGTCCACTCTTTCAGAAGGTGGAGTGCACAGTCTGTGAGGCAGACACTCTGAATTCCATTTACCGTCACTGTGACATTAAGGGCTTGAGAGGCATCAGGCAACCACCAGTCATCCAGAGGAGGTTCCCTTGGACGAAGAGCACAGCTGATCCTGTTGTAATCCACACTGTGGATCTCACAAGTATAGTTACCCGTCAGGCTCACACGAACTGAATTCCTCCTGGATTTTAGAACAAGACCGGATATAGTGAACAACAGCCCACCACAAGCTGAACCTTGTGATGGAATTATGGCCTTTACCTCTGGGACTAATGTAAAGTTCTGCAGGGCTGCCGTCATGTTGGCATAGCCCAGCTGCTTCTGGAGAACTCTGACGGGATAGATTCCAGGTTCCAGAGTGCTCAGTGGGAAGGAGCATTGAGAAAGGGTTGTGGATTCATTGTCGGATTGAAACTCCAGCTCACATTCAGAGTCTCCCAGCTTAGCCACTGAACCAGTTATATTTATTCCTTCTATGTCCAGCCACAGGCTGTCATTCATCATTTTTACTTCCACAGAGGTAACTACCGGAGTCAAAGCCATCTGGTAAGTAAAGGTGATATTCCTCTTTGGGAAGCTCCAGGAGGGAAGGAGTGGAGAGGATCTGTTACCAATGAACACCCCCACAAGTACAGAGATGTCCTGGGACTCTATATTAGAGAAGTCAGCAGCCGGTGGGGTCTGGCACCATATTGTCTCTTCCACCAAGCGGGTAACATCACAGGTTTGCGTGCCTATAAAGACTGAAACCAGGGTAGGGTTTTGGCTAAAGCCTTTTCCAGAGATTGTGAGGATTGTTCCACCTAGGGATACAGAAACGGTTAGCGCCATGGAGTCAGCTCAGAGTGAATTCTAATATGGTGAAACGCCACGGAAATTTCTACAGCCGCATTGTCTCAGCCTTTTCTGCCCTTAAAACGAGGTTCATTGGCACCTGATCACCATATAGGGACCCTGAGTTTATATGACACTGCTTCCTACATCAAGCCCTCACCCACCACTGCATCCCAGTGTGTAACATTTAACAATTTAACATGGGGAGAGCAGCGAGAGTTTGAAAAATTCTAATCCCTAATCTAAGGACGGGTTTGCCAAGCACAGGGTTCTTCAAAACTGGCCACTTTACCCTGTGATCGCTGTTTGCCTGGCAGCTGCATTCCAGCCATACGTCCCTGGAGTATGGGCTGGTCCCCTCCTCCTTGTGCAGAGTGGCATGAACTCACTTGCACACGAGGTTGTGATGCAACGCCATATAGCGGTGGAGAAATATCAGACTGCAGTGCAGACATCACCAAAGCTAACCCTTTGTCTGCTAGGAAGAGGATTAAGCAAATCAGAACACGCAGTGGGGTGAGCTCAGACTTTCAGCTGCTATAACTCTGGCCTAAATTCCTCTATTCCAAGCCTAAATTCTGCAAGATCTTTAGCAAGTGCTTCAGCAAGAGAGCTCTCCCTAGGAACGATATCATTTGTTGACGGCTCCATTAGCATGACAGAGTTTTTGGAGGACCTAATAGCAAGGTGTGCCCAAATCTTGCCCAATTCAAGGCTGTATTGGTAACCTGCCAGGACGTCAAGAGGTCACATGTTAATAGCATAAAACTGAGCAGATTGCAGCTATCCTCATCTTTAATACACAGATGCACCACATGAAACTCCATGTCCCAGCTTGCAATACTCCAGCCGGAGCCAATCAGCCTCCACTGACTTCAAAGTGGTGCATCCCATGCTGCAGCCTATAGTTACTGTGTGGGATAGTCCTCCAAATTAAAGAAGGTGGCCCTGGACTATGGACTATTCACTGGCTATCCTATGTGACTTTCTAGAAAGTTTCAATACATTTTTTTCATAAAGTCAATAAACCCCAGTCCTCTCAAAAACCAAGAAAGTGGAACTAGTATGACTTGGCCAGCTTTCTCGCTCGGCACAGGTTCTGAAGCATCCTGATCCCCAGATATTACACTCTTTGGGGTAGCATCCCCGTCTCCACTTTCCTCGGTAAAACGCCTGGCATGCTGCTGGAGCTGATCATCATTCGTAACCCATCACATTTTTCTTAAACCTTGAATTTACTTCTAAAAAGAGAATTCTTCTACAATCCACATGTTTTATTATTTAACCTTCCAGTTTGATGGGCTTCGCTATATCTAAATTGGCATCAGCTCTCAAAGCTGAATAATAATATTTGACACTTTATCTAATGAACCGACACAAAGCCCCTCTATGATTATGGCCAGCGGAGGAGTTAAGCGATTTGGCTAAGGCAATCCATAGAATCCGTGAGTTTCTAGCTCCCCAGTCCTGCACTTCAAGCATAAGACTATGCATCCCTTCCCACCCTCCACGAGGCCCAGATTCTCCTTTTCCTAATGCCAGTTTTACACTGGAGGATCTCCACTGAGGTCAGTGGAGATACTGCTGATTTACACTGGTGTGAGACAAAGCAAAATCGACAACTTAATTCTCTGCAACTTAAAATGTTCATTGCCTCTATATCTGCTACACAGCAAAGCAATAGAGACACTCCACTTAGGCCCTGATCCTGCAAAGGTTTATGGTCAGCTTTAGTCCTAGTGGGACTCTGCGTATACATCAAAGACTTATGCACATTGAATGTTAAGCACTGGGAACTCCGGACTGAAAAAGCCAGCACCAGTTATTCAGGTGTGAGTGGTTTTTGTGCATTTGGTTCATTCATGAGGGGAAACAAATTCAAAGGACAGGGGACCTTGTCATCAGCCCTATGGCTAACTTGTTCCAATATTAGCCAGACAATCCAAAGGTGGGCTGCTCAGTACACTCACACACACCCAGAGAGTCCCAGGCAGGCAGCTGCTGCCTGTCAATGCAAGTCTACATAATAAGGGTTCACACATTTACAAATGCCATCATCTAAACGAATGTGAAATTGGACGCCTTTCCCAATCACAGAGGGGAGAGGAGTCCTTGATCCCTTGATGGCCTCCAGAAGTGGTGACAGATGTGCTGATGCTATTTACCCAGTGCTTAATTTGTGCCAGGGTTGAGCCTCCGCACCTCTGAGCTTGGCAGTTCATAACTCCAGCACCTCTGGGCTTGCCACATCAGTTATGAAAGTAAAAAAAAAAATTTGCTTGAGCCCCGGCACCTCTTTCATTACAAATTAAGCGCTGTATTTACCCAGAACGGAGCCACAGCAGGGCTCTATGCTGAGGATCTCAGTGTTGTACTGGATGAACGGATCAACTCTGCAAAACACAAACACAGGATCAGTCCTTTACTTTTCCTTTTTATTCCACGTGCTTTTCTCTCCTTGCCTTTCCTGGGTGGATCCCCGAATAGCCTCCCTACATCTCCCGCTTGGTTCCATGCCATCTCCCGGGTGCCCTCTTACAAGACACTGTCATTCCAGGCCACAAAGACTCTCTCCCCTTGGAGCCCAGGCATGTAACTAGCTGGTCAGGGTCTCTATGGAGCAACATGAAGGGACAGATATTACGAATACTACTGAAGCAGTACAAAGTGCTACTGACTGTAGTGGGACTAAAGCACATGCTTAAGAGCTTTGCTGAACAGGGATTCGCTGCTGAATCAGAGTCGTAGTAATTGCTAATCATTTGTAAAACATACAGTGGAGCTCTTTGTTAGCAAGCTGGCTCTGATACCGAGCCCATGTTTCCTTTGCTTTTCCATTAACCCTAAAATCCCAGGTAGAATTTAGCTAATGAAGTTCACATCCTCGAGGAAATAGGCACATTCACTCACCCATGTGAGCCGATGGCAATGCCATTGATGATGACAGAAAGGTTGTACCATCCATCTGCCATGGCAGGCAGTACTACATCGACGCCATCGGCTGTTCGTGCTTGGATCTGTGCCACAGTGTCCTCAATTTTCACCTGTACATCCAGGCCAGTACAATTTGCGAATGAAGATATTCCAATCTGGAGTGACTGGGGCCCTGTGGAAAGGAGAAGACATGAAGCAATCAAGTTGTTTGTTGCTACCGTGAATCTAGTGCATGGGCAAGTGTCGGAGCAAGAGAAGTCTCTTCACAACACAAGCTGTAGCAATGCAAGCTTCTTCGGCACATTGTCCCGCCCATGCGCATCAACCCTGGGCTAGAGGTGCTCTTCTAGAAAAGTGAGCATTAGTCTCCATGGGCCCCCATCCATCCCTTAGCCTCTCTAGTCAAGTTGCCAACTGGGGTGGCAGTTTTTTGAAATCTTGACACCTTCCCACTGCACTAGCAACTGGCCTGTGACCACCAAACTTACGTCACAAAGTCCACTTAGCCGATAGCCTTGCAAGAGTTGGGGGTGTGGAGGTTGGTTGAGTTATGTAAAATTGAAAGGCTTAATATTCCATTAACATTCTTCTGAGCGATCCAGCTCCCTTGGATAAAGCAAGTCTGATTCAGCTAGTCATTGTATCTTCTGATGGGTAGCCCAGTCCACTTAACTAATAAACACAGACCTCCTAGTCAGGTACTGATCTTTCTGTCACTGCAGATGCCTCTCCAGTGCATTACCACAGCTAGGATTCAATCTGAGGACTTTTATAACCTTCATTCTAAAGAGAAGCCACTCCCTTTAATGAGGCAGAAGGAACTGGGCTCCTCTCAGCCACCAGCCCCTCTGAGCAGAGCTTGAAGCAGGTACTTTCCAATTCTATATGTAAATGTAACTCTTCTGCCAGGTGGAGTCGGCAGCAACAAGGGCTGGGTGCAGTACCTAGGGATTCTTCTTAACAATGCAAAACAGAACCAGCTCGAGTCCCCATCCAGTAACCTGGGAAAACTAAACACCACTCTTGGGCGCCTCAGAGGCCACATCTACACTACAAAATTAAGTTGACCTAACTTACATTGGCATACAGCTGCCTCAGTAATCACGTCGCTTGTGCATGTCTACGCTTTGCTCCTTGTGTCAGCAGTGCACATCCTCACCAGGAGTGCTTGTATTGATTGTACTGTCGGTGTGGGGCATGGTGGGAAGGCTCCTGAAAGCCAGTGACAGTCCACATAGGCAGCGCAGTGTCTACACTGACACTGCAGCAACCTAACGACATTAACCTTCACTCTACGCTGCTCATGGAAGTGGAGTTATTAAGTTGGCATAGTGGGGTAGTTAAGTCAGCGGGAGCGAAATTTAAGTGTAGATGCTTCCATAGTTAGGTCAACAGAAGCTGCCTTGCATCGACCTAACTCCGCAGTGTAGACCACAAGCACTGACTCTGTATATAACAAAAGAAAACTTCTATTGACAGGGAAAGGGAATCCAGCATTCATTTGTGAAAACACCACAACCACAATTCAGACGCATGTAACCATAAGAAAACAACCATCCACAGTATATTGGGCAGTGTCCTTTGCTCAGTTTTCCACCTTGTGGCAGGAAAGTTTGACAAACAAATATCCATTTAACACACCACTCTTTTTTCCTCCACTGCACCCCACCTACAGTTGGTTGTCCTTAGTCAGTGAAGACCCAGAGTTCAGAAATGCATTCACCTGGGTCCACCTCCCACCACTGAAAAAAGGGGAAGGGGGCATTGAGCCATGCCTCTGTAATGCCAGCAGATGCCAGTCAGCAGCAGCCAGGATCAAACCTGGGATCTCTGGAGCTTAACACATGAGTCTCCACTGCATGAGCTAAAAGACACATCTCGCTTAGGGCTGGTCTACACTAGGGGAGGATCAATCTAAGATACGCAACTTCAGCTATGCTATTCGTGTAGCTGAAGTCGAAGTATCTTAGTTCGACTTACCTGGCCGTCCTCACGGCGGCAAGTCAACCGCCGCGGCTCCCCCGTCGACTCTGCTTACTCCTTCTGCCGAGGTGGAGTACGGGCGTCGATTCGGGGATCGATTTATCGCGTCTAGACGAGACGCGATAAATCGATCCCCGATAGATCGATTACTACCCGCCGATCGGGCCGGTAGTGTAGACGTGACCTTAGCCCAGGCTGTAGCAGGCTCATCTCTATCTGGCCTAGCCACTACTAGAGGAGGATAGAATGCTACCCCAAGCAGGCATAGTTTACATCTCCACCGCTGCAACTGGCTCAACACTGCTGGCACTGTTATCTCTGCCACCCTTCCCTTGCCACTCACTGCCACTTCTGTGATGCCGTGTTCTGAAGTTCCCCCACTTAGCCTCGTTCTTACTGATTTCAGCCCTTAGTGATTTCACTGGGTGGTGGGCAACCTCTGTGCAGCTGCCTTTTCATTGTCTTTTACTGCAACACTGTCCCCAGATCAGGTCTAAGCCTTAGCCCCTAGACCTGCTCATCAATGATTTCAGCTCTAGTAATAACTGAACAGAAACACGGACTCTCCACTGAGTCCTATCAGCTCTGTCTTTAAACACTACAGCTGGGAGGGGAGGGTCAAATGGTGTCTACGATTCTTTAGGCAGAGACCACACCACAACATAGGAACATCTATCCCAACCCCCTCTCATTTTCACTGGGATTTGGCATCCCTACCCCCCACTTGGCAAGTGAGGTTCAATTTAGGGCGACCCTTCAATCAGGGCAGGCTAAATACAGTCCTGCTGCCCAACACTCATACATCAAGGATAACAAGCCTTCATTAGCCCTGCCTTCAATACTAAAGTGATTTGTAACCCAAAACTGATCCCTTTGGCAAAGCAGGCCTGTCTGCTGAACACCTAGGCAAAGTTGGTGTGTCTGTGCAAATACAGTCTGCTCCTAAGGTCTTTTCTCCCAGTGCATTGCTACATGTCAGGAAAAAAACTCACTGAAAACTTGCTTAGGTAACACCAACAGACCCCGGTCGTTGGCGGGCGGGATCAAACCTGTGGCTTCTGGAGCTTAGCACATGAGCCCCTACAGCATGAGCTAGAAGCTAAGTGGCTCTTAGCTAAAGCTGTAGAGCAGCCTCATTTAACTCTAAGTGGTCTCGGTGCCACTAGATAGGACAGAACACCACAGCCAGAAGGTGTGTGGGTTACACGCACATCAGAGTCAAATAAAGTTTGAAACTTTGAAAGCCTGTGAAGTTGTATATATTAATAACCTGAACTCTTTGGACTCTTGGTCAATTGTCAGCTTAATCCAAAAATGCCTGGAAGGCATTGGTGTCATTTATTTATTTTTATGATGGGAGGAAAATTATATTAAAAGCCAAAGTCACCCACTTCTGAATAAGAGATTGAACTCCCAGTACCGTCACCATTCATGAGATTCTATAACATTAAGAAGTTCCATACACCTATGCTGCCTGCGGCTAGAAAAATCTCCCCTTGGTGTTATCGTATCTGAATAATATTCAGATGATAAAGGACACTTTCCCTTATTTATGCATTCTGCAGTATTAAAAAATGAAAAGGGTAGAGGCGAATGGAACAGAAACTCGGTGTGTGCAGTAAGGAGGGTGATCAGCTCACCTCTTGCATTGGTGCTAAATCCAGCCAGGCTAGTGAGCCTAGAGGGAGTTTTATTACAGTGCATAGTGCAGAGATTGGATAGGCTTGAAAGACAGATGAGAAAAGAAAGAAACTGAAAGAGACTGGACTGTGTGGGGATGGGAGGGTCTGTTCTTCCTTTCCCCCTCCCCGCTCCATCACTCTTCATTCCTGTTCCCTCTCTCTGAAACGACACCGTAGGGCTGCGATGATTGTGAAACGGTTGGGTTCAGGTTCTGCTGCTGACAACATTCTGCCCATGCTCCTGGGATGGGGTCCCATATCACATGGTCTTCTGGGCAACCTCAGGGAGTGAGGTCAAACTCAGACTCCTCCCCCTGCCCAAGCACTGCGCTCAGACCACAGGTATCTTCTTGGGCTGCGACGCGTGGCAATGTTATTTATATTACAATAGTACCTTGAGGCCCCACTGAGATCAGAACCTCATTGTCCTTGATGCTGTACAGACAGTGTAACCCACACACCTTCTGGGTGTGGTGTTCTGTCCCATCTAGTGGCACCGAGACCACTTAGAGAGAGAGATTAATGAGTCTGCTCTACAGCCTTAGCTAACAGGGAGTTGGCTTTTAGCTCATGCTGTAGAGGCTCATGCACTAAGCTCCAGAAATCCCTGGTTCGATCCTACCCACCAACAACTGGGGTCTGCCGGCGTTACAACAGCTCCTGCCTCAGAGAGTTTACAGCCTAAATACACAAGGCAGACAAAGGGTAGGAGAGGCGAAGTGACTTGTCCAAGGTCACAGAGCAGCTCAACAACAGAGCTAGGACTGGAACCCAGGTCTCCTGGCTTCCAGTCTAGTGCCCTATCTATTAAACCCAACACCGCCTGCCCGTTGCATTTGGGCTGCAACTTCACATGCCAAATCTCTAGAAGGCTGTCTCTAACCTTCGTCTTCTAAACTAAGCTCGCTGTGTTGGCTCTGGGGTCAGCAACTGATTCCCCACTCTCCGGTTACTTCTTGGTCCCGGATCATTCAGTCTAACCCCGATATCTAACCGTGGCAACAACCGGGCTGCTGCTGACTGGCAATACTTGTCTCCTCAGAGAGAGAAAGGAGATATACATTCTAGATATAGTAGGCTGGCATGTGCGCCTTTAATGTTCCTTGCCGGGAAATATTTGCTAAAAACGAAAGGCTTCAGCCAGGGCCGTCCTTACCCACATGCAAACTACGCAGCTGTGTAGGGCACCAGGAAATTTGGGGCACCAAATTGCCCCAAATTTCCTGGTGCCCTATGCAGCTGCGTGCTGCTCCAGCGGCCAGCCCAATCCCCCGGCCGGCTGAGCCGGCTAGGAAAGCTGCCCCCACCCCTGCTCCTCCTCTTCCCACCCCTGATCCATCCCAGCCTCACACCCACTCCACCCCTTCCCCTGAGCTATGTCCTGGGGGACTGCAGCAGGGGTTGGGTGCGCCCTGCACTCACCAGGCAGTGGGAAGTGGAGTAACCCGGCCCCAGTCCGCTCCGCTCCGCCGGCTCCC